AGTCATTCCTCTGCTTGCAATAAATTTCAGTGTCATCATTTCCTGGATTAAATTGGAAATCCTGCTGAATTTACGCTCAAGCTTGCTGAAAGACATCTGATCCTTTCAAATTCAAATTCAGATCATTCTCTTTTTTTTTTTTTTGTATTTACAGATAAATTATGAAACCAGGCTTATGCCAGCTAGTTTGTTCCTGTGTTAAAAATCACAAGTGCTAGAATGTATTTCTTTATGTGCCTGAAAATAAGGGCCTTCACATACGATTAATAATCGAAACAAATTACCACAATCTGCTGAATGCATGTCCTAAACTCATCTGAGCACTCTTCAAGCATACCGGAGTGTGTGCGGGGCTGCAGGGAGAAGAAAACGGGGCAGAGGTACCATAAGCTACTGTAATAGAAATGTCTTGGTCCTGTTACACAGCATATATATCAGTATCACAAATTCAGCATTCCAGTTCTTCCTGCGTATGTAGTGTTTCTGACAAATGAAGAATATGTTAGCAGAGCTATTTTCAGTGACATTTTACTATCCTGTCAGAAAAGTTCGAGCACTGCTTCTGCAAGTTTTTTTCTAGACTATCTTCTCAAAGTAAGATCTCCTTTGTCATTACTGGAAATTGGAATCGGAGTGTTCCCCTGGGCTACCACAGAAGCTTTCTGGTGTACTGAAAACCTAAGCAGAAAGGAATGAAACGGAAAAGGGAAAACCTGAATGAAACTCTAACAACAGATACACCTTATTAATTAATCTGCTCTGCTTAGTGATAAAGGTTCAAGGTTTGATTCTATGCATGACTTGTTTTATAGGAATTCTAACTTTGCTTACCAATGTGAAGTAATCAAGCTTAGTCACAATATAAAGGTGATAGAAAAAAGGCATCTGGATTAGGGATGATTTAAAAACTGAGTTGGAGAAGAGGAAGGATATTCTGCATAGATCTCAGTCAATCTGAGAACCAATAGAGAGAGCAAAGACTGGGTAATTTGAAAAGCTCTTACAAGTACTTATATTTTCTCTCAAGTGTATACCAGATACATGCCTTTTCACACCGGGAATTGTTTCCACATTTAGTTCAATTCACCTTAAATCAGTGTAGTTTTCCAAAAGGTGTTCAACAACTTCTGAAAAGCAAGCCCCTTTAAGCTACTTGGAAAGCAGGACCCCAAACTGCAGCCACTTTGTTAAATCTTGGCCACTCAGTACCAATTTAACTTGCTGCTAACGGCTGTGCTGCTGGGTGTGCATTGACCTGAAGCGTGTCTTAAGTGCTTCTCTGAGGCATACCTACTCCACTTAGGCACGCAGGACCCCTTTCCAATGTGTAGGAAAAAACAGGCCCCTAAGGTAGCCAACAGAATGAACCTGAGACTGATGTGCCTCCGACTCTACTCTTCTTTAATCTTCTAGTTTTACGTTATATCTATGCATGTCTGTGTGTAAAACGCATATATGTACATATAAAATAAAATTTCTTGTTTTCTGATGTTTAAGAGCTTTTAGTCCCCTCCAGGCTAACAAAAGCACCCACCCCTGAAAACAGGGAAACATAAAAGCACAGAGGTAAAGCCACTGACTTAAACGGATTCAAATGTATAACTATCTGCAGGACCAGTTACTGTTTGTTCATAAGCTGTTAAGGAGAATGAATGAAGACACCTACCTGAAGAAGAAAACTGTCAAAGTAGTAACTACTTCTTTTTCCTTCTTCAAAACAAGCTTAAATTACCCAAATGCCCCAAAGTGGCGTCAGTTCACGACTGCATACGGTGTTCTTGCAATAAATAGTATTTTTTCTTATTTTAATATTTCAATACCATTACTTGATGTTTTTACGTTGCCAGCATGAAATATACACTGCAGTCTCTTAAAATGTATAGGTGACACCTGATACTGTCAATTTGACAGATGAGTTCTTTATTGCATAAATGCCCATGATTTCATGTAAAGCTACCCTGGGCTATGACATAAACAAAATTTCTACTAAAGCAAATGGAAAATGAGAAGTAAACTGTGGACAGATACTAAGATAGATCCGTCCCAAGATAAAATCTAGGACAGATCAATCTGTCACATGTAAAGACAAGCATCCTTCTGTGTTAGGTGTCCTAAGAATTAAAAAAAAAACGGTAGCAGCAAACAACTTAGACACAAGGCTAACCAAATTACCAGCTATGCTCTTGGGACAGCCCCCAAAAAATCACCCTGTCATATTAAAATTTCAGACATCTGTACTAGCTATCTATGAGAAGCTGAAATGTCATCCTTCCCTTTGAATTTCCAACATAAATATTTGCATTTTAAAAGTTGAAAGAATAAAAGAGTTTGCCATCAGAATGTTTTTTTTTTTTTTTCTCAGGAGTTGACCCTTCATTCTCTGTTTCAGCAGTACTTTAGTAGTTCCATCACATTAAGAAAATTCACACCATCAATAACAGTGCCTCTATATTTCATTATGTAAATATGTATTTGAAGATTTTAAAACACACAGTTTGATCTAGTCATCAAAAACCTGAAAATCTGTTACTGCTAAATTTAGAATTGGCACCTAACTTGAAAATCAATACTGCATATATTAAAACCCCAAAAGCTATCAAATTATGTCCAAAGCAAGAATGATTAAAACACCATCCCTTAAATTCACTGACCAAATTTCTTTCTATAGAAATTAATCAGTCTATCTGGATGGAATTTGCTTTTTCACTTTCCTATCATGCAAATTCACAGCACAATCATCAATTTGAGCTATAAAGAATACAACTATACCTTTAGCAAAGACCTCAATATCAGTAATTAAATCAACAGAGCAAACATATAACATTTATAAGCAATCTGATAAATATTTTATTGTCTTTTTCTTCAAGAATAATTTTCAATTAAGAAATAAAACTTCATTCTGAAAAAGCTACAGCAGTTTCTTGCACATTTAAAATTTCTAGAATAGGGAAACATTCTAGAACTTGAGATTTATAACATTTTCATCACTGTATGTATTTGAACAACATTACTAATTTATTCAGATGCTTCATGCATAATTACTAGAAAACAAATCTGCTATTCTGTTAGTCTAACATCAGAAAGGAAAAGCCATCTAGTGAACACTTTGAAAAATATAAATAATTGCAAGTATTAAATTGTTAACTACAACATGAATACACTGTCTAAAGTACCATTTTAATTTTTTTAATAGCTCCCTTTTTTTATTTAGGCTAACATTGGGAATGCAAGGCCTGATTTCAAGCTTTGCATACATGACAGATGACTTCTGGCATAGCAAGGTTTTCCAAGGATGTGACAACACGTAAATTTTAACACCATTGAAAAAGCAAAATCCCTTTTTAAGAACATATTTATACTGCAAACCTGTAATATTACTTCTAAAAGCTTGTTGTTCATTGGTTTTGTTTTTTTTTTTTTTTTAAGGTGGAAGAGAAATGCTCTTAGGTTTATTTTATTGGTGGAAAGCACAACTTTTCTGCTACTGCTCTATTGACTTGGGAAGCTAGAAGAGCACACTTACTTCTGTATCAGCAAAGGATCCTCTGCTCCCACATGGTTTATGTCTCTTTTCAAAGCACATGTAAAATATCTAATAAATGTTACACCCCCCAAATGGACTGCTTGCTCTCTTCCTTGGTGGGCTTTCATTGTTTGATTTCAAGCCAAGGTCTTTGCAGCTAGTAAGCAGCACATTTGCAAAAAAGGAACATTAAGTTATGGGCCCGATCTAGTTGTCATTAAATCAGCAGGCACGGAGTTAAATTCAATGTTCTGTTATATCCCACAAAAATCTCACCGTGGAAACACCTGCATTACAAATATTATAATGGATGTGACTTCACTTGTTAGCAAAACGTTTCTATTTAGAGCAACAGGAAGAAATTAGAGCTGTATCCATAAAACATGACCAGAACATAACAGACAGAATCAATCAGCAATTGTTCCTATTGCTAGCATTGTGATTTTTTCCAGTGCTGACCCATTACAAAGGGATATCTCAGTTTCCTTTATAAGCTTCTCCCTTCAACCTTCTCTCACAGAATATCAATGCCATTCTGAAGCTTGAAACCGAAATGTTTTTCTTACCAAACGCTATTTTCCTTCATCATATGCTGAGAATGAATGGTTCTTCTTGAACATTCAGCTGATAAAGAGAAAGAAAAAGTGCATATCAAATTTTAATTCTGTTCACTTTGACAAAGGCTCTTTTTCACGTTAAGGCTTAAAGGGAAACGAAGACGGTAAACCTCAAAATATGGGTGCAGTTGGACTAATTTCTCTACCTGTGTAGATTCATGACACTCCTTTTAGTGGATTTCCTGAGAAAATGAGGCGAAGAAGAAATTATGCAGATGCATAAAGAGCAGAGTATACCACAGGGGAAATGCTGGTAGAATAATGAGAGTTGGGATCCTAGCGAAGTCATATTTTGAATATTTTGCCATGCCTGTCTTCAGTGACATCTCAGTCAACAACTGAATACGGGTCTGAACAGACTGCTTCACTAGCTGGCATGTCACTGGGGATTGTCACCAGTGCTTAAAGATAAATTACCCTGAATGAAAAGATTTAAAGCAGTTGTGCAAATCTTCAAATCACTTTCTGGATATCAAAATTATGGCTAATATTATGGCTTGCTGAAATAAAAGTCGGATGATCTAATATAAAGCTACCTTGGATAAAGAAAGATTTGGGGAAAATTTCTGTTTCTTACCTGGCAACAGTGCTTATCCAAAGCACTTCAGTAAAACATATTAAAACCATGTCAATTCCTTGTGCTATTCTTTTAAGAAAATTTAAAGCTTATTACAACTAAAACTTGTTTTAAGAAAGCGGTTGAACCTTAGATAAACCATCCTTTCTGCTTCCTAGCTGCACAGCCTTCCCTGAAGATTTCCCCACTACTTCAGTCTAAACATTTTCTGTGAAACATCAGTGACAACTGTGTCATGCAGAACTTTGGGGGGTTTACGTATACAAAACACATTTTAGAAGCATTTAGTACGGCACGTGTTTTATTGAAGAATGAATGAATAAATCGGCCTTGCTAATTAAGCTGCTCTGGAAATAGCAATCAATTCGGATTTCAGGTGTCAAAGCAGAGTAAGATTATAAAATGTGTTTCAAAAGAACCCTTAAACTAATGTTACTTTAAATATATCGTTTTTAACCAAGTCCTGGAGCACTTTGGGAGCTACTTTTTAAATGTCTTCAGAGTACCACTGTCAACTATTCTGTAAAAGGAAAGGAAAACAAATTTCAAGCACTGTTTACAGAAGGGGATTTAAGATCGAATAATGCATTGTACAAAACACCAAAGCATTCACTGTTGCTCAAACACTGTAGAAGAACATTGTCCAAGACAATACTGACACATGCTAAGTGTTACATCCTAATAAATACACATGTAAGCAAATGGAAAAAAATTATTTTAAAGTAGCCATCAGCAGGTCTCTAATAAAATTCTATTACACTGACTTTTTATGATACAAAAATAACAATAATAATAATAATAATAATAATCTTTAGAATAATAGGTATAGTACAACAGTTACACTTGCTCACTATACAAATACTCAGTCTGTTGTTGAGAGACTGCGATTAAAGTCGTTGCCTATCCTTACACAGCAGCTCTATAAATGCATGGCTGTTACATTAACACATCACAGATAATTGCTTTTACTGTAGTTACTTTAAAGTATCTGTTAACAAAACCCAAGAAATTGCCTGAGAAATGGCTTGGTTTGTACGTATTTTTTTTTCTATTATATGACAGGAGCATCTTAAGCAAGGATGACGCTCTACTCCTCTTGGCACTGTACAACTAAGTGTAAATTGATAATCTCTGAAATGACCAATACAACAAAGCACACTGCATAGCTACTGTAAATTCTAGCTTCTTACATAAACTATCTTATGTATACATAGTATGAACAGTTTGCATAGTTGCACAGTAATAGTTATTCACACCGGGGTTTTTACACTATTCTTAAAATATGGGCAGCTAACATTCAGACCAGAAGTCTGCTTTTTAAGAATCCACAAACCTAATTCATATACTGTTAATCTGATATTGCTCATACATTTAAATTACAGCAGGAGAAAGAGGCTGTCACTTAACTTACGTTAACTGTAAAATACAGATTTATCAAAACATGAGTTGTATTTAATTCTTTTTTTTTGAGGGCAAATGTACCAAGCTCCATTACGGAAAAAAAAAAAAGACTGCTAGTAAATAAAGCCAATTTAAAGCAATAAAAAATTAGTGTGAACCAGCTTGTGCTACTTGCTTTGTCTGAAGTTGCAAGGAGATAAAAATGCATTTGAATAATACTGATGCCCAAAATAGATTACATTTCTTCTGATACTTTAAGGACTATTTTATATTTATGAGCTCCTATCAAAGACGTATATCTATGAGAAAACTGTCATTTTTGAAAGTGAAGGGAATTATCCAGTAATTCATAAAATTTTAGCGATGTTCAAGAGCTTCAAGTAACAGTGACCATGGAAAAAGCTTCACTGATAGACAATTCACATCACACTTTTACAGTTGGTGTGTTTTTTTCATTAAGAATCTATAAATGGAATAGGAAAAGTGCATTCGTTATTGGTGGCCATTGGAAATTTCTTGATAACCTTTTCATATGTCATCAGTTGCATATAAAATGATGCACTTTTGAAGCTTTTCTTTGCATGCTTTATCTATTTACAAGAAAATACATTCCCAAGCAAGTAATAAGCATGAGTAACATACAATACTGAAATGCACCTGTTAAAAGCTTTGAGATAAATGTAAAGTTCCATCAAGTTTCTTGATGTGGATCACTACCGAACTTCATGAGTACTAAGAGGTTAAAATGAAACAGCGCTTAATAAGTGCTACATTGATTTACAAGCCCAAAGCTCAGCAACTACACGACTGAGCTGCATTTAATTTAGTTCAGGCCATGAAAGTTGTCTGTTATTTTTAATCATAAACAATTCCATTCAGGTAAAATTTTCTTTAGCTTAGAAACTCCACAATTTAATCTGAATTGCTTTTTTGTTCTGTTTTTTTTTTTTTTTTTTTTTTTAACATGGCAGAGAAGACCTTATGAAAATTCTATCAGCTTGTACCTTCCCGGCAAGGTGCACCCCTAGTAGCCGTCTCGACGTTTTGCAGTTGTTCTGAGAGAGCAAACCGGAGGTTTTTTTTTTTTTTGCCAAGTGGAACTGCTCTCGTCGTTCATCGGTGTAATTCTCCTAGCATATTTCACAAAATTGTCAAACATTTATGTCTCTAAGCTACACATTTGTATACAATTGTATTCATCTTACTACTGCAGGGCTATTACTTCAGTTATCCACATTCTTAGATGTCCATACATTTCTCATCGAACAGTAAACTTCAACACAACAGTTCTCGTAAGACTGTTTATTGAATTTAACAGTTTAGATGCAGTTTATATAAAACCCCTCTCTTTTCATGTAAACTGCAATCAAAAATAACTTTACAAAAAAGTAAGAGACTTACTGAGATTGTAAGTTTCCTAAAATGTGAAACTATAAAGTATCTGTGCATGCTCACTATTAGACTTCCTTTTTTGTAACAGAGGAGTTGTTAAAAGAGTTTGTTTTTTGTAAATCTCAAGGTAGTCTATGAAATGGAATCATTGTCATCACAACTCGGGTATACAAGATCAAAACTGGCAAAGAGGAACATAACATTTTTTTCCCCAAAAAGTTGAGGCAGCTTTAGTTGAATGGTATCTGCATCGGTAAATTTTTTTTATAAACTCTGTTGGCTTTGGAGCATGAGAGAGAATCCATTTTTTCTTTTGCGATCTTGAAAATAATTTCCCACAAGTACAGACAGGTAAGGAGGAAAAGAAGTAGCAGCTTGTTTCCTACATACAGCCCAATGCCATGCGCAGCTGCCCAGCGTCTCAGAACGAAAACGAACTTGACATCACAGGGAGGCATATCCCCCTCAAGTTACAAGCACGTCTGAGATTTTTCTCTGGGGAGAGGGAAGCAAGCACGAGGGTAAAGCGTAAGTCTACTTTTCATGCATAGCTACTGTGCGCTGCCCCACGGCCGCGGCGCTTTGTCAGACGTCCGAGTTGGAGCTGAGGTTTGTTAACCTGGGGTCTGCATTGATCTCGTATCTGTAGTGGTAGCCCTCCATGTGATCCCTACAGGCATCTCTGATGTTGTGCATCCACTTTTTGATTCCTTTTCGGTTCAAGTACAAAACCAGGAGGAAAATGGCCCCGATGAGAGCCAAGACTATCCCCAGGAAGACGTACGAAGTCTGTAGCTGGGAAGGCAGGTCTACAGGCACAGAGCAGTTCAGGTCCGAGCCATTGATCTTCAGCAGGGCTTTGCCCAGCGTCTTGTCGGGGTAGGCACAGGTCAGGGCTTCTCTACCCTCCACCTGGTCGCTCTCCTTGAGCCAGGCCACCAGGTCCTCGACGGTGCAGTCACAGACCCAGGTGTCGCGGCCCAGGCCGACGCGCCGGAGGGCGGGCAGGCCGTGGAAGCGGGCCAGGGTGCCGTTCCGCAGCGTGCCCAGGGAGCTGTCGCTGAGGTTGAGGCTCTGCAGCTGGCCCAGCCCCTGGAAGGAGACGTTTCGCAGGCCCACCAGGGAGCTGTTGCCGAGGTCCAGCTGCCTCAGGGCGAGCAGGGCAGGGAACACGCCGGCGGGCAGCAGCAGCAGCCCGTTGTCAGCCAGCTCCAGGCGGCTGAGGTTGCGCAGGGCCCCGGCCTGCAGCATGGCGGCCAGGCTGAGGAGGACGCCGTGGTCGCGCAGGGCCCCGCGGAGGGCCAGCTCCTCCAGCGGGCTGCCGCCCTCCCCGAAAGCCTGCGGGCTGAGGGAGACCAGGGGGTTGCCGCTGAGGTCCAGCTGCCGCAGGGCGGGCAGGCCAGCCAGGGCGCCGGCCTCCACCGCCCGCAGGTGGTTGCCGCTGAGGTTGAGGGCGCGGAGGTCGGGCAGGCGCTGGGCGGGGAAGGCGCCGGCCGGCAGCCGGGCCAGGCGGTTGCCGGTGAGGAAGAGGCTGCGCACGTAGGGCGGCAGGTCGGGCGGCACCGCCGTCAGGTTCTTGCTCACGCACTTCACCGTCTTGGCCGGCTCCGAGCACTCGCAGAGGGCCCGGCAGCTGTCGGGCTGCTTCGCCGAGCCGCAGCCCAGCAGGACGTGCAGCAGCAGCCCCAGGCGGAGGGCGCCGCGCCCCGGCATCGCGCCCGGCCCGGCCCCGAGCACAACTTTCCCCCTCCGGGCGCCTTCGGCTTTGGGCGGCGCGGCGAGGCGAGGCGCGGCGAGGCGAGGCGAGGCGGGGGGCGACTCCTGCCCGCTCCGGGCAGCCCTGTCTCCGGGGGTAGGCGCTTCCCCTCCGGGGCTGGCTCCCGCAGCGAGACCTGCGGCAGGGGAGGAAAGGGAGAGGGCAGCGGCGGGGCGGCGCGGCGCGGCTCCGCTCGCCCGCGACCCCCCACGCGTGTCTCCGGAGGCAGCGCGGGGGAACCCGCTGAGGAACAAGTTTCCCCCGCACGCACGCTGCCAGCTCACGCCGCCGCCTTCCCACCCGGCCGGGGGCTCCGCGGGGGAGGCGAAGGAAGGGTCTAACCACCCCACACACACACACGCCACTCCGGCGCTCTCCCCCTCCGCTCCCGCGCCACGACCGGTGCAAACTCCTGCCCGCCCGCAAAACCCACCGCGGAGCGGAGCCGAGCCCGCTCCCAGCGCCGGCCGCCGTCCCTCACCTCCCGCCGCCGCCGCTCCCTCGGCGCGCCCGGAGCAAACTCCGCCGGAGCGCGCAACCACCGGCCGCCAACTCCGCGCCTGGCCCTGCCTCCGCCGACAGGAGAAACCAACCGCCGCCCCGGCCGGGGGGAGACACCGCCCGCGCCCCGCCCGGCTCCCGCCCGCCGCCCCCGTGCCGCCGCAGCCGCCGGCGGGCTGTGCGCGGCAGCCCGGCCGGGAGGGCGTTCCCCTCGCCCCCCCCCCCCCCCTCACCCCGCCGGTGCTGCCGCGGGGCTCGCCGAGCCGCCGAGCGGAGCCGCTCCACGCCGGGCTCCCCTCAGCGCGGCGGAGGGAGGGGGCGGCCGGAGGGGAGGCACGGCTGGGCTCCGCGGGCGCGGAGCAGGAGCGGAGCGGGTCTCGGCCGCCCCGCCGAGGGCGAGGCGGCGGCAGCGAGGGCTGCCGGAGCCCCCGCACCCCCGCTCCCCGCCTCGGCCGCGCCGTACCTGCCCTCCGCCCCGACGCGGCGGCCGGGGTCGGGGCCGTCGCGGCGGTGCCTGGCTGCTGGGCTGCCGTTTTTCCCGCGCAGGGCAGTAGGATTGGGAAATCCCGAGGGATTCCCGGGGAGGGGGGCGCCGGGCGAGGCCCTCGCTCAACGCCCGCCCCGGGCCCCGGTGCGGGGAGGGGGCGCGGGGGGGGGGGGGGGGTTCCGTGGGCCCCGGCGGGTCCTGGCGTGGAAGTGGGGGCGAGGATGGGCCCCGACCCGTCTGTCCGGGGAAAGCGGTTCGGGGGAGCGGGGTGGGGAAGCAACACCTGCCACAGAAGTACATCGAACAAGCTCCAAAACTAAAAAACAAACAAACAAACAAATAAAACAAACAAACAAACAAAAAACAACAACAACAACAAAAAAAACAAAAACAAAAAAAAAAACACCAACCCAAACTTGCCAGGATCTTTAGAGGTTCTAAAATAAATAATAATTAAAAAAAAAAAAATAAGCTGAACATTGACAGCTTAAGTCTGAGATTTAAACTTTATTATGGTGAGGAAAAAGCCTAAATATCTATCTGCGTGTAAAATGTCTACCGGTTTCAGTCGCTATGGCTGTCCCAGAAGTGCCCGGGCACGGGTGAGCAATCCAGGGGGTACAAATGCGGTTTTGTAGACGGGTGACTCGCTCAGGTGACTCCACGGAGCGGGTGTTTGAGGAAGAGGTGAATGGCGGGAGCTGTCCCGGGGACTCTGTGGGGTCACTGGTCCCTGTGAAGTGATCGAGATAGTTAAATATCATCTCATTAACGTAGGAAACATATCACTATATTCAAATAGCCAGTTTCAGCACCGTGAATCCGAGCGCTCTGGGTCCATGATTCCTTTGGGCTTTCCTTACCCTTCTGATGACTGCTTACACAAGATTTCCCTCTTCCTGTATGTCAGTTATGCTCCTTCTGCTTTCTCAATCAACTAGGTTCCTTTAAGGGGAAAAGTCAGCAGAAATTCCACAGCTGTCAGAAGCCACGAGGGAAAAGAACAGGTGAATCCAGTATGAAGTCTTGAGAAAATCGGCCCCAGAATCCAGGGGATAATGTGCTAAAACACAGATTTCTGTAGGATTGTTCTTCCCTCTCTAGCTTGACGGTGGTATTATGGTGCAGAAAAGTCTGGGGGTTGGGGTGGCAGGCGGGGGCTGCCCAGCTGATAGACCAGCATGTTCTTTATGTGAAGATTATGGAGGAAAGGAGATACGGAGCGGCTAAAGTAATAGCGATACAAGTGAGATGTTGGACCCGCAAGCAGTTCTAGAGGCTTGGGAAGTTACTGCTTTGATGTTGAGTTAGAAAAACAGTGGCACTACACTGCAGGAATTTTTAGTTTGTTAAAAGGTATTTCTGTTCCAGATCCATATGCCTGTTTTAGTATAATGCTTAGAAAATGAGATAAGATCTTGCACTTTGTAAGAGAAAGACATGTTCTCCTCATCTATTAAAATTTTTTGTAAAAGCCAAAGAGAAAAACCCCACAAAATTGGCCTACTAGACAACAGTGAAGTTCAGTGACCAGTGAGAGGTAGTTTCCAAAAGGAGACAGCTTCTAAAAATAGGTAACTGAAAATATTAACAAAATAGATGAGATAAATCATTAAAGAAAAAAAACAAAAACAACTTACTGAGCATACCCATGACTGTTTTTTAAAAATGTTTAGATACAATGTCATTTTTGATGGAATAAAACAATTAAGAGCAATGACACTGATTGCTCATCATGCTGACCAAAGTTGTCCTAGTAGCTCCTGGCTCTCTGTGACTGTCTGGGTGGGTCTGTGCCTCCTGCCCTGCACAGCAAGTTACCTCTTCGGGCAGGGAGCACGGTTTTGTTCCGTGTTTGTGAGGTGCTCCCTGACAGCTGCTTGCATGGGCTGCAGTAATGCAAATAATAAATAACAAATATTTTCCGATGGTTTCCAATTATTCCAGTAGTAAATTGCACCTGCTAAGCCTGCTTAAGCTTGCAAGAGGAAGAAAAACGCTTGTTAATCTGTTCTCTTTTATTCTTGTTTAAATAAAACAACTTTTCTCAGAGGCATATTCCAAAAAGGAAGAAGCACTTTCTGGTGAATATACTTCTACTGAATGGATATCCTGGATGTTTTTGTAATCTGTACTATGAAAAAAAAAACAAAAAACAAAAAACAAAAAAAACAAAAAAAAAAAAAAAACAAAAAAAAAAAAAAACAAAAAACAAACTGTGGTATTTTCAGGTCAGTTTTGGCTCTTACGATTGATTGATTGATTTGTGAATTTGCATTGTACAGCCCTTAGAATCGCATTTCATAGGTTTTTTTGCATAAAGCTTATGCAAAACTTATGACTGAGTTAAAATACAGTATTTGAAACATATCTTGGCTAAAGGACTCAAACTGGGAAAGAATTTACTGTAAGGAAACTGTTCCTGAGGCTGATATTCCTGTGGGTTGACTGAGAAGCTCCCGTTAAGGGGGGGAGGTTGAGGCAATGCTTCAATCTCTCGGTGGTTCTGCTCCTCCAGGATGAGGCTGGGTGACATGCTGGTCATCTGGAATTGTGAAGGAAACTTCTGACTGTCCTCCTTCAGAAGATTAAAGCTTGCTTCATGTGACAGTGATGAGAACTGCTTGCTTTTGAAAAGGAGTACTCCAGTATTTCAGCTCCCCCAAAGTGAAAATGTGACACCTACCTAACGGAATGCAGACAGTCGTAGGGACAACCTGTGATAACTATACTGCTTGGCGTTTTTGGAGTCGCTATATCCCTTTTAAGGCTCTCACATTGGCAAGGAATAAAGTGGCATTTGTAGATGCTCATGTCACTCCACTGTCCTTAGACAAACCTGGAAGATTATTTTAGGCGCTGAAATTTAAGGCTGTTAATTAAGTTAATTGAGATGGATCCCATCCTAAATAATCTTCACAAAGCTCCTTGGCCAGATACTAGGCAATGCTGGATGCCTTATGTGAGATTCTGAGTGCCCTGATTCCAGCTGATGTCCAAGGAGTTGGTAGAGTGTGGAGTAGGACTCCATGCAATAGTGATCAACTTTTGATGTTTTTCTCCTTTACTGACAGGGAAATTTATGTTTCTTCTGTGAAATGTTTCTATGTTGTCTCAATATTGTATGAAGGTACCTGGCACTTCATAGGAAGTGGCCTTGGAAGGGTTTTTATGATGTGCTAAAGATGATACACCAAGTGAGCAATAGCACAGAGACCAGAATTATTTTCTTTTACTGAAAATACCTTACCACAAAAGTGGAAGAACAAGCTGCAAGTTCCATCTGCTTCCTCACATGGAGAGATCCAGCAGGTCCTCCAAAGGACACCTGTTTCCCTTGGGATGCGGCCTCATTTGAAGAAACGCCATCAGAATTCTTAAAATGCAGCCATAAAAATACTTAGGCAACCACATGCTGCCTTGAATTCATGTTTGGATATTATATTCAGCATTCACATGCTCACACCCATAAACATTCAAGTTTCGGTTTTCTTTTTAGGTGCATTTAAACTTATATGATATTTTATTTTTTTTTTATACGAATTGAAGCAATACAGAAGACAATCTTTAAGTAATTTTTGGTTTTGTTTTTGTTTTTTTTTTTTTTAACTTAGCACTTTGTTCCAGGCACAAAAACACCCTGCCCAAATGATTTGCAAGTCTGTTCTGGTTTTCACTGTCTGTGTGATGAATGCAGGATAAATCCTGCGATTATCTATGCATCTATGTGGAAATCATGCAGCCGTTAATCAATATAGAGTGTAAGACCACGTTTGCATTTTCTTGTATGCTATCCATTTTTATATTGAAATACCAAAAGTCAGTCTCATACAAGGAATGTTGATTTTTAATACCGTGGAAACATATTAAACTTTCCCAGTACTAACAGAAAAAGATCTTAGCTAAAAGTAACCTGGTTTTTGGTCTTTAAAAATATGTTAACCCGGTAACTGTAATAACACACTGTTGTCAATTCTGTGCACTCCTGCATGCCTTAGGTGGAGACTGAAGGGACAATATGAGACATAGTGCCTCCTTGCTGTGTGTGAGCGACGCTGAAAACTGGTGAAACTGTGAAGACAAACTCTTTACCTGCTCCCCCTTTCTTGGTAGTGGTTTATTGTTAAAACCTGTTACTCAAATGAGAAGGAGGCCATGGTGACTTCCTCCAGTGAAGGTGGCTACCAGAACTGGGGTCAAGAATACACTAGGAAAAAAGACTTGGGAGGAGGACCCGCTCTATTCCAGGTGCTGCCACTGTGTGCACGCATTCCTCTGTCCGTTCTTCATCTCTGCATGCTCTGACATATGGAGTATCTGCAACAGGAGCCAAGTTGAATAACCACTTACAAGTTCATCACAATATGACTGAGAATTTAACATGCTTGAACAGATCAGGCTAAACTTTCAATCCTGCTTTTATTGTTTCCTTGCTCAGGAACAATGCACGTCTTTTACTTTCAAGCTACCTTTGATAGATAGCTATATGGAAATGGTGTTTTTTTCATTATTTTAATTTTAAGAAGGTAAGGTTTAGTTCTATGACCAACCCTAAGTTTCATGTAAATTCTGCTTAGAGTAAATCACTACAGCCAGTAAAACTCTTCGTTCCACAAAATAAACCACCAGATTTTAGTCCTTTTTGAA